CTCCTCCGCGCCCGGTCTGAGGCCGCGGGGCTCCGGGCGGGCGGCGGAAACGTCGAGCGGTGGCGGGGCGCAGGGGGCCGCCATGTTGTACGGCAGAAGGAGGCGGGCGGGGCCGTCGTCGGGCACTTCCGTTTCCGGTGTGTCCGGGCCGTGGAGGCGGTGTGGGGAGCGGGAGGTAAACACAGGCCGCGGCCTGGGGGGGGAAAGAGGGGGAATGGCGGTGAGGGGAGCTTTAGGGGAAGGCAGGGGGTTGACAGGGACCCCAGGGACACCCACGATGAGTGGGGACCCCCCCACAGCTCCCCACAGTGGGGTGTGCCCGTCCCCAGCTCCTGCATCCCGGTGATGCCCTGTCGTGGGTCAAGGCCCCACCCCAGATCCCCTCAGGCCCCTCTTCACCACCCATCATTTTTCCCAGAAATCCCTTTTTTTAGGGGAAATCCTGAACCCCCCACCCTGGGGGCCAGTGGGGTGACAGCATTTGGGGTTGTCCCCCCCATAGGGTTGTCCCCACGGAGGTGACGGCCATGGAGGACGCTGCTGCACCTCTCGTCCCGCTCCCCACGGCCTGCGCTGGGGACACTGGGAAGAGGAACGGGGACAGCGTGGTCCCAGCGGGTGAGAGGCCCTGGGGGGGTGGGACGGTGGCTGAGGGGTGGCTTTGGTGGGGACAAGGGGCTGGGGGAACGTGGGGTTGGGGGTGCTTTGGCCCTAAGGAGGGTCCTTGTGCTGTGTCTGGTCCCCAGACCTTCTCCCAGGGTGACCCCAAACCTTCTACCACCACGTCCCAGTCCCTTCTCCCACCACGGTGTCCCTGTCCCTTTCTCCCACCATGTCCCCATCCATTTTGCCACCTTCTCCCACTGTGTCCCCAATCCTTCTCCCACCATGACCCCCATCCCTTCTCGCCCCATGGCCCCAGCTCTTCTCCCACCACATCCCACCCCTTCTCCCACAGTGTCCCCATCCCTTCTCTCACCACGTTCCCATCTCTTCTCCCACCACATCCCCATCCCTTGTTCCACCATGTCCCCAACCCTTCCCAAGGTCCCTTCCGCCTTCGAACCTTGATCTTCTTCTGGGACCTTCTTGGTTGACCCTTTCCCTGTCCCCGCTCCACGTGAACCCTCTCCCAGCCTGAGACGGCTCCTGGAGATGTTCCCTCTCCCCAACAGATTTGGGGTCGATCAAGGAGGAGGAGAAACACCAGGAGGATGCTCCTCAGCAAGAGGATGAACCTGTGGAACCCCCAACCTCCAGCCAGCAGCTGTCTCCAGGCTCCCATCCGGGGGGATCCCCGCTCTCAGGGGACAACGGGAAGGATGAGGCACCCAACAAATGCCAGGAATGTGGGAAGAGCTTCAGTTGCCGCTCGGCCTTGGTCAACCACCATCGGATCCACACGGGAGAGCGACACTTCAGCTGCCAGGACTGTGGGCGCCGCTTCAACCGTCCCTCCCTCCTGGCCACCCACCGCCGGACCCACAGCGGGGAGAAGCCCTACGAGTGCCCCGATTGTGGGAAGAGCTTCCACGAGGGCTCTGCCCTCCGGCAGCACCGCAAAGCCCACACGGACGAGCGGCCGTTCCGGTGTGAGGAATGTGGGAAGGGCTTCAGGCAGAGATCCACCCTGACCATCCACCACCGCCTCCACTCCGGGGAGAAGCCCTACCAGTGTTCCCAGTGCCCCAAGAGCTTCAAGAGCCGCCCGGAGCTGAAGCAACATCTCCAGAGCCACAGCGGGGAGAAGCCCTACCAGTGTTCCCAGTGTTCCAAGAGCTTCACCTACAGCTCAGGACTGGTCCAGCACTGGCGGACCCACACGGGGGAGAAGCCCTACGACTGCTCCCAGTGCGGCCGGTGCTTCCGCAACAACTCCACGCTGGTCCGGCATCAGCAGAGACACATCGTGTAGGACAATCATCCCTTCCTCAACCTTTGGGAAGAGCTTTTCCAACCCTCTTGGGTTCTCCAAGATCTTCTGGGCACACAGCGGGGGGAAAGATACTGCCCCCACCACAGGAGAGGCTTCAGCCATCGCTCACCGGTGGTCCCAGCTGGAGCAGAAACCCGACATTTGCCTGATTTGCCTCAAAAACTTCACCTCCAGCCCCAAACTCATCCACCATCGGAGGATCCACAACAAGAAGAAGCCTCAGGGTTGTGGGAAGAGCTTTTGGCTCCACTTCATCTCGTCTCCCATCATAAAAGCCACCAACTGAAGATGGGGACAACCCCACTGGGGGCCAGCCCCATCCTGGTGGCATCTCAGACACATCTTGGGGGTCCCTGGTGGTGGCACCCAGAGGTAACCAACCCACCCACATACATCCCACCGGTTTATTTCCTTTTGACTGTATATTTTTATATGGAAAACGGCTTTGTGAGGTTGATTTTATAAAAAGCCACCCCCATCCTCTGTTTTTTTTTGCCTTAGATTCAAGATGGGGGGAAGGGAGGGAAGGGAGACCCATGAGCTTCACCCGAGAGAAAAGAAATCACAGCCAAACAGGGTCTTTCTTGATGTCTCAGTTCATTTTCTCGATGTTTTCAACCTATTTTGGGTCGTATTAATGGATGGGGCTGGATTGAAAGTAAATTAGGGCCAAAATAAAAGCGTTTGTGTGTTGGCCTCGTGCGAGTATCTCTGTGGTGGGGTCAAAGCAAGGGCTCATGTGGGTGGAAGAGCCTTTTTTGGAGGGGAAAACTATCAAAAAGTCCCCAATTTTGGATGGGCTGGGAGCATCTTCTGCCCCTGGAGGGTGTGAGACCCCTTGGTGGGTCACCAAGTTGGAGTCACCATCGGGAGGGGTCATCTCCAAAGCGGGATCTGATGGTGGGCAGCTGCTCCCAACCCCTCCAAATCACGATGATGCGGCCAACGAAACCATATTTGGGTCACTTTAAGCAAGTTTTGGGTCAACGGAGCCTGGTTCTTATGGGTGATTTTAACTCCCCAGAGATTGGTTGGAAGAGGAGCAGTTGGCGAGTGCTGGGAGCTCTTTGGGAAGCACAAAACCAGTTCATCCCCTTTAAAGATAAGGGTCGACATTCTCACCCAGGAGTGTCCAGAGCCAGTAGCTGATGGGTTCTACTGGTTTGGGCTGGGCTGGGGTTAATTTTCTCCCAGTGGTTGCCGTGTTTCAGGGCTGGTATGACAGGAATGTCCATAATGCATATTGTTGCAGTTGTTGCTGAGCGATGTTTATATTAGGTCAAGGACTTTTTCACATTTTGTCTATTTTTTTAACATTCTTCTCATTATTTTTATTCTTTTCTTCCATTCCTGTTCTTCTAAATTCTCTTTATCTGAACCCACAAGTTATTTTTTAAAATTTTCTCCCCATCCCACTGGGGCTTGGGGGGGAATTACTGGTTTCAAAGTCCCGGTTGATGGCTGGGGTTCAACCCCCCCACTCCTGTGGGTCTTTCAGCTCTCACCTAATATTAAATGATTAATTTAGAGCATTCCCTTTACCCCATCGATCAACTGTGTCCCAGTGTCCCAGTTTGGGCTGGGATGGGGTTAATTTTCCCAGTTTGGGGGCTGGTATGAGAGGAGTGTCAATAATGCATATTGTTGTAGTTGTTGCTGAGCGATGTTTATATTAAGTCAAGGACTTTTTCTCATTTTGTCTATTTTTTCACCATTCTTCTCATTATTTTTATTTTCTCTTCCATTCTCATTCTTCTAAACCATCTTTATCTCAACCCACGAGTTAATTTTAAAATTTTTCTCTCCATCCCACCAAGGTGGGGGAGGGGAATTACCAGTTTCGAGGTCCCAGTTGCCCGCTGGGGTTCAACCCCCACACTCCTGGGTGTTTTTCAGCTCTCGCTTCATATTAAACGATTAATTTAGAGCATCCCCTTTTCTCCCATCGATCCACCGTGTCCCGGTGTCCCAGTTTGGGCTGGGATGGGGTTAATTTTCCCTGTTTGGGGGCTGGTATGAGAGGAATGTCAATAAGACATATTGTTGTAGCTGTTGCTGAGCGATGTTTATATTAAGTCAAGGACTTTTTTCATTTTGTTTATTATTTTTCCATTTTTCTCACTACTGTTACTTTCCCTTCCATTCCTGTTCCTCTAAACCATCTTTATCTCAACCCACGAGTTAATTTTTTAATTTTTCTCCCCATCCCAACGAGGTGGGGGGGTTGATGACCGGTTTTGAGGTCCCAGTTGCCCACTGGGGTCCAACCCCCCCACTCCTGGGTGTTTTTCAGCTCTCGCTTCATATTAAACGATTAATTTAGAGCATCCCCTTTTCTCCCATCGATCCACCACATCCCAGTGTCCCAGTTTGGGCTGGGATGGGGTTAATTTTCCCAGTTTGGGGGCTGGTAAGAGAGGAATGTCAATAAGGCATATTGTTGTAGTTGTTGCTGAGCGATGTTTATATTAAGTCAAGGACTTTTTCTCATTTTGTCTATTTTTTCACCATTCTTCTCATTATTTTTATTTTCTCTTCCATTCTCATTCTTCTAAACCATCTTTATCTCAACCCACGAGTTAATTTTAAAATTTTTCTCTCCATCCCACCAAGGTGGGGGAGGGGAATTACCAGTTTCGAGGTCCCAGTTGCCCGCTGGGGTTCAACCCCCACACTCCTGGGTGTTTTTCAGCTCTCGCTTCATATTAAACGATTAATTTAGAGCATCCCCTTTTCTCCCATCGATCCACCGTGTCCCGGTGTCCCAGTTTGGGCTGGGATGGGGTTAATTTTCCCTGTTTGGGGGCTGGTATGAGAGGAATGTCAATAAGACATATTGTTGTAGCTGTTGCTGAGCGATGTTTATATTAAGTCAAGGACTTTTTTCATTTTGTTTATTATTTTTCCATTTTTCTCACTACTGTTACTTTCCCTTCCATTCCTGTTCCTCTAAACCATCTTTATCTCAACCCACGAGTTAATTTTTTAATTTTTCTCCCCATCCCAACGAGGTGGGGGGGTTGATGACCGGTTTTGAGGTCCCAGTTGCCCACTGGGGTCCAACCCCCCCACTCCTGGGTGTTTTTCAGCTCTCGCTTCATATTAAACGATTAATTTAGAGCATCCCCTTTTCTCCCATCGATCCACCACATCCCAGTGTCCCAGTTTGGGCTGGGATGGGGTTAATTTTCCCAGTTTGGGGGCTGGTAAGAGAGGAATGTCAATAAGACATATTGTTGTAGTTGTTGCTGAGCGATGTTTATATTAAGTCAAGGACTTTTTCTCATTTTGTCTATTTTTTCACCATTCTTCTCATTATTTTTATTTTCTCTTCCATTCTCATTCTTCTAAACCATCTTTATCTCAACCCACGAGTTAATTTTATTTCTCCTGCCACTATGACAACAGCCCTTCTCCTCCTGTGTCCCCATCCCTTCTCCCACCAGGACCTCAAACCTTCTCCTACCATGTCGCCATCACACCTCCCGCCATCTTGCCATCCCTTCTCCCACTGGAGACCCATCCCTTCTCCCATCCCACCCTGTCCTCCTCCATTTTGCCATTCCCCATCCCTGTCCCATCTGTCTTCCCACCATGTCTCCATCCCATCTGCCACCATGACCCCATCTCCTCTGCCACCGTGACCCCAGCCCTTCTCCCACCATGACACCAACCCTTCTATCACATCCTTATTCCTCCTTCCACCATGACCCCATCCCTCATTCCACCATGTCTCCAACCCCTTCTTCCTTGATCTTCTGCTGGGACCATCTGGCTCTTGGCTGACCCTTTCCCTGTCCCTGTTCCATTTGAACCCTCTCCCAGCCGGAGATTGCTCCTGGAGATGTTCCCTCTCCCCAACAGATTTGGGATCAATCAAGGAGGAGGAGAAACACCAGGAGGATGTTCCTCACCAGGAGGATGAACCCATGGAACCCCCAACCTCCAGCCAGCAGCTGTCTCCAAGGACCCATCCCGGGGAATCCCCCCTCCCAGGGGACAATGGAAGGGAAGAGGCACCCAACACCTGCCAGGAATGTGGGAAGAGCTTCAGTTGCCGCTCAGCCTTGGTCAACCACCATCGGATCCACACGGGCGAACGCCCGGGTGCCACTGGGGTGACAGCGTTTGGGGTTGTCCCCCCCATAGGGTTGTCCCCACGGAGGTGACGGCCATGGAGGACGCTGCTGCACCTCTCGTCCCGCTCCCCACGGCCTGCGCTGGGGACACCGGGAAGAGGAACGGGGACAGCGTGGTCCCAGCGGGTGAGAGGCCCTGGGGGGGTGGGACGGTGGCTGAGGGGTGGCTTTGGTGGGGACAAGGGGCTGGGGGAACGTGGGGTTGGGGGTGCTTTGGCCCTAAGGAGGGTTCTTGTGCCGTGTCAGGTCCCCAAACCTTCTCCCAGGGTGACCCCAAACCTTCTCCCACCACGTCCCCATCTCTTCTCCCACCACGTCCTCATCTCTTCTCCTACCATGTCCACATTTCTCCTGCCACTATGACAACAGCCCTTCTCCTCCTGTGTCCCCATCCCTTCTCCCACCAGGACCTCAAACCTTCTCCTACCATGTCGCCATCACACCTCCCGCCATCTTGCCATCCCTTCTCCCACTGGAGACCCATCCCTTCTCCCATCCCACCCTGTCCTCCTCCATTTTGCCATTCCCCATCCCTGTCCCATCTGTCTTCCCACCATGTCTCCATCCCATCTGCCACCATGACCCCATCTCCTCTGCCACCGTGACCCCAGCCCTTCTCCCACCATGACACCAACCCTTCTATCACATCCTTATTCCTCCTTCCACCATGACCCCATCCCTCATTCCACCATGTCTCCAACCCCTTCTTCCTTGATCTTCTGCTGGGACCATCTGGCTCTTGGCTGACCCTTTCCCTGTCCCTGTTCCATTTGAACCCTCTCCCAGCCGGAGATTGCTCCTGGAGATGTTCCCTCTCCCCAACAGATTTGGGATCAATCAAGGAGGAGGAGAAACACCAGGAGGATGTTCCTCACCAGGAGGATGAACCCATGGAACCCCCAACCTCCAGCCAGCAGCTGTCTCCAAGGACCCATCCCGGGGAATCCCCCCTCCCAGGGGACAATGGAAGGGAAGAGGCACCCAACACCTGCCAGGAATGTGGGAAGAGCTTCAGTTGCCGCTCAGCCTTGGTCAACCACCATCGGATCCACACGGGCGAACGCCCCTTCAGCTGCCAGGACTGCGGGCGCCGCTTCAACCGTCGCTTCAACCTCAACACCCACCGAAGGATCCACACTGGAGAGACGCCATTCGAGTGCCCCGACTGTGGGAAGAGCTACCACGACAGCTCCACGCTCCGGCAGCATCGCAAGACCCACACGGACGAGCGGCCATACCGGTGTGAGGAATGTGGGAAGAGCTTCAGGCACAGGTCCACCTTGACCATCCACCACCGCATCCACTCAGGAGAAAAGCCCTACAAGTGCCCCGAGTGCCACAAAAGCTTTACCAACAGCTCGGGGGTGGTGAGGCACTGGCGGACCCACACCGGGGAGAAGCCCTACAAGTGTCCCCAGTGTCACAAGAGCTTCACCAGCAACTTGGGGCTGGTGGGGCACAGGAGGGTCCACAGCACCGAGAGGCCCTACCAGTGCTCCCAGTGTCACAAGAGCTTCAAGAGCAACCCCGAGCTGGTGCGGCACTGGAGGACCCACACCAGACCGTGACCCGATGGTTCTCCCAACGTAGGTCAACGCTTCCTCAACATCTCCACACCATCCAAAGATGGGGACAACCCCACTGGGGACCAGCCCCATCCTGATGGTATCTCAGATGCATCCTGGTGGTCCCTGGTGGTCGCACCAAGGGGCAGCCAACCCATCTACAGACATCCCAACAGCTCTTATTTTTCTTTCCCTACATGTTTTTATATATAAAGGTTGGGTTTTTTGGGGTGGGGGGGGTGCATCCTGATGGTATCTCAGATGCATCCTGGTGGTCCCTGGTGGTCGCACCAAGGGGAAGCCAACCCATTCACGCATAGCCCACCAACTCTTATATTTCTTCCCTTATGTGTTTTTATATATAAAGGGTGGGTTTTGGGGGGGTGTTTTTAAAAAAGCCACCCCCATCCTCTGTTATTTTTGCCTTAGATTCGAGATGAGGGGAAGGGAGGGAGGGGAGACCTATGAGTTTCACCCAAGATAAAAGAAATCAAGTTAAAATGGGCTTTTTCTTGATGCCTCAATTCAATTCCTTGATGTTTTCAGCCCCATTTGGGGTCAGCCAAGAGCCAGGTGATCCCAGCAGAGGATCAAGGCTCCAAGGCAGGAGGTACCTTGAGAAGGGTTGGGGACACGACACGGCACAAGAGCCCAACTTAGGGACAAAAAAGTGGATACCCCATAGTGGGATCCACTGTAGGGGCCCATAGGGGCCTACAGGCCCTATTTCGGCCTCTGCCCGCCTTTAATGGAGTTTCCAGGCGGCGGCCGCCATCTTGAGGCGCGGCGGCGCCGTAACACAAGATGGCGGCGGCCTCTCCCACCTCCCTCGCCGCCCTTTCCCCGCCTCGCCCTGAGGCGAATTCGGGATCAAACCGAGCGCGGCGGCTCCTCGCTCCTCGGGACTCGCCTCCGAGCCCGGCCTGAGGCCGCCGGGCACCGGGCGGGCGGCAGAGACGGCGGGTGACGGCGGGGCGCTGGGGGTCGCCATGTTGTACGGCAGGAGGAGAAGAGCGGGGCGTCGTGGAGCGCTTCCGTTTCCGGTGTGTCCGGGCCGTGGAGGCGGTGTGGGGAGCGGGAGGTAAACACAGGCCGCGGTCTGGACGTGAGGGGGGGAC